CTAAATAAGGAGACAAAAGGAAGAAGAGCCAATGAGCTACAAGAATGTCAGAGGTGGTAAAGCATAAATATCCCTAGACAGCCATGATCCACATCTGTCTCACTGGCTTTCAGAGACAGACCCACTCGCTTATGGAGTGTATTTTCGCTTTCTATTAAATCTGCTTGCTCATACTCCTGTGGTCTTGCTCATGTCTTGTGTCTCCAACACCTCACCCGAATCTGCGACGCCTTGCTAGAAGTCCAAGAGAATTCCCATGGGGCATTCGGTAACACTACTACTACTAAGGGATCATGCTAGAAGGCCCTGAGTACACTGGAGGGAAATGTGGAACAAAATTGAAAATCACACACACAAAAAAAGACCATGTTTACTGGTCAGATACTGTTGGAACCCCTGAGAGTATGGTCCACCGCCCCCCTTCAGGTCTAGAAATAAACTCACCCCCATGGCTCAAAAGTCTATAGGCTAACAGTAACACCAGGGAAGGATGCACACCCTAGAATAATCAACCATCTTAAAAGGGCAGCAGCTGCCCAAAGACAGAGTTCGGAAAGATTAGTCAAGCAAGAGGAATGGGAACAGGTAATACCGGAAGTGGGGTAAGAGATGTTTCATTGTGGGGCCTGCAGTGAATGAGATGAAACAAAATGTCTATAAATTGTTGAGTGAAAACTGGTCTGCTCTATAAGCTTTTACTTATTTAAAAATACATTTTTTTTTAAGAAAAAAAGATAATGGAAGTTTTCTACAAGCTTTTTTAAAGCTCTCTCATCTGTTCCCCCCACGCCAGATTCCTGTACTATACAGAATGAGCCATAAAAAACAGAACGTGAGGAAATTAAGTTAGGGGTTTGTTGTTGTTGTTAGGTGCCATCGAGTCGGTGCCGACTCATAGCGACCTTACGCACAGCAGAATGAAACACTGCCCGATCCTGGGCCGACCTCACTACTATTGCCATGCTTGAGTCCATTGATGCTGCCACTTGGCCAATCCATCTCATTGGGGTCTTCCTCTTTTTCTCTGACCCTCCACCTTACCAAACATGATATCTCCAGTGACTGGTCCCTCCTGACAATATGTTCGAAGTATGAGAGACGAAGTTTGGCCATCTTGGCCTCCAAGGAGCACTCTGGCTGCACTTATTCCAAAATTGATCTGTTGGTTCTTTTGGAAGCCCACGGCACTTTCAATATTCTCCTCCAACACCATAAGCATCAATTCTTCTACGGTCCTCCCTATTCATTGTCCAGCTTTCACAAGCATATGAGGTTATTGATAATACCATGGCTTGGGTCAGGCGCACCTTAGTCTTCAAGCTGACATCTTTGCTCTTCAACATTTTAAAAAGGTCTTGTGCAGCAGATTTACCTAATGCAATACATTGTTTGATTTCTTGACTGCTGCTTCCATGAGTAACATTCCACCACTCGATGTCAGTTTGTCGTACTGTGGTGGCTTGTGAGTTGCTGTGATTCTGAAAGCTATGCCACTGGTATTTTAAATTTCAGGTTAGGGGTGCAAAACCCAAAAACTTTGTCAGTGACAAACAAAAAAGAGATAAAAATTAGATTAAAGCGATGGCACAGTTTTATACCTGCTAAATGAATAAGAAATTATATACCACAATAAATGGGACACTTTACCTAAAAAAGACCTGGAATTGCTTGGGGACTTCCATCTGCCATCTCACCACTGATGTGTGAGAGGAAGAGAACAAAAGGCTAAGGGGAAGAGAGTGAGAAAAGAGCAAAGAGGGGCAATATCTATAAGAAACTAAAAGGGAAGGAAGTAAAGAGAAGAGGCTATGGGGCTGAGCAGTTGGAAAGGTTGCAGGTTGCGTCATTGTGTGGTGGTAAAAAGAGGATTATCTGGGATCAGATGAAAATTCCTCACATCAGATATGGACTGGTGTGGATTCTAATACATGAGGTGAGCTCAGATAGCTGGAAGATGATTCAGGAGTGTGTGAAAGACAGAGAGAGAGAATGTTTTGTTTATTCCTAAAGGTTTGGTTCACCTGGGTGCTATTTTCTGCATTTACCTAGCATCTCTCACAGGAAATTTCTTGTAAACAAGCTTGAAATTCACAATGTACTCAAATGTTGGAACAAAGTAGAATTTTAAAAACAGGAGGTACAGAACTGACTATATAAATCATGTATGTGCAATGCAAATAGTTTCTTTTCTACTATTAAAACATTGTAAATCACACTTAAAACATTGAATGCAATAAAAACTTAGCATGTTCTTTGTTTGTTTGTTTTTAATGTCACTAAGTTTTACTTAGGAGATCCTGGGTAGTGCACAAATGGTTAGCAAACCCAGCTGTTAACTGAAAGGTTGGAGACTCAAGTCCACCCAAAGGTTTCTCAGAAGAAAGGCCTGCAGATCTACTTCTCCCAAACCAGCCATTGAAAACCCTCCAGGGCACAGATCTAGTCTGATTGACTTGGATTCACCACCAGTCAGAGTTGACTTGACAGCAACGGGTTAGGTTTTATTTTCAAACAAACATGCTGAACACCTTTCTAAAGCAAATGAAGCATGGAATCTTTTTATCAACTTTTCCCCTATTGCCAATCAGGATTTGGTTTAAATGATCATCCTGAAAATTTTGTCAGATTAAAACAAAATTACAGAGAACAAACAAGATGGCGGATTGGGTGGAAGTGCAGTGAGGAGCTCGGTCAGCAACAACACAGAATATCAGACCAAGCAGGCTCAGGGGATGGTCCCAGAACTCTGAGCCACATATACAGGAGTATTTAGAAAGTTGGAAGGCTCACAGCCTGTGGAATTTGTAGCAGAAGCAAGAAATCCAGTGCTTTCTAATCCAAGGTGCTTAACTGCTCCCGGAGCCACCATCTTGGGTGAGACTGAATGGAGGAAGGATCAGAGTAGCCACAGACGCCTGACAGAACTGCAGAGATAAAGGTGTGGAAATTTTTTTTTTTTTGTATCTGTTTATCGGCCTCTCGCTGTCTGCGTACCTCCATTCTCATGATTAGAGGGGTTGCCCAAGAAGCCCTGGTGTGGAGCTGTGGGTTAATGCGCTGCATTGCAGAGTCAGTTAGAATCTCAAGATTGATGGTTCAAGCTCATCAGTCGCTTCTTGGAAACCCTATGCAGGGTTGCTATGGGTCAGAACAGACTCAACGGCACTAAACAACAACAATAGTGCTTCAAGAGCATCTTAAAAGCTGTGGCAGGTACATTCCGCTAAATAGTTCATAAAACTGGAGGAAGTTCCAACCCCAAGTGGTACAATCCAGACACAATCTTCAGGGGTTAGAGGCCATTTCCTTTGGCCTCAAAGTTACTAAAATACACACCCTCAACAAGTTATGAATGTCTCCTTCTGTGGAATGGCATGAAATATTGGACTGATTTTTTTCTTTCTTTGTTCACTTTTTACTCTTTTTACTTCTGTTCTTGGAATCCTGATGTAGCACTGTGGGTTAATGTGCTGGACTGCAAGGTCGTTTTGAACTGCAATGCAAGGTCAACAGTTTAAACTCACAAGCTTCTCAAAAACCCTATACAGGGGTCGCTATGAGTCAGAATCGACTTGACAGCACTTAACAACAGCAACTCTCTGTTCTTGGCTTAGAAGTAATAAGCTCCTAAATGTCAGCTGCAACAGAAACTGCTGTTTTCTTACCCAATTTGTATTCTTCGCTTCTTTGGTACTAGCCTGCACTAGGTTGGCTATTTCTTAATGTTGTTGTTAAGTGCCATCAAGCGGGTTCTGATTCATAGCGAACCGTATAGAGTTTCGGAGGAATGGCTGATGAATTTGAATTCCCAACCTTGCGGTTCAAACCGCCCCTGAGGTCGAGTGCTTATCTTATGACGCCACACTAGGACTCCACCGGTCTCATTTAAAACTCAACAACTCCCGGAATTCTTACATGTGAGAATAATCTGAAGGTCCGTTCGATAAACAAGACTGTAGAGATATGGTAGGAACCCATAATTAGCTGAGTTCCTTTTTCTTGTTAAGTCTGTGGACATCTGAGTAAATGTAAACACAGAGTCACGCTCCTCTCCCTGTGTGCAGCTGAAGTCCACCTTGAGACACACGTGAGAACTGTCGGAGATGTTGGAGGTACAGGCTGGTGACGGTGCCTCGCAGTTCCCCTGGTGAGCACCTCCCTTCTCAAGGTCACAAGATTTTAGGAGCTCCAGCAGAGTGCCTGGGTCCCTGTAAGCAGACGCACTGAGCTGATAATAAAGCCGACATAAATTCTGCCCTGCGCGGGCACAGTGCCCAGCTGTATTGGGCCGCAGGGTGCAGTTGTCCTGGGGGGCGGGGCGCCCCGGGAGCTCCCAGAGCAGCTCCTCCTCTCCGCCTGCCCCAGGCTTTTCTATCACCTGAGAAGTTCTGGCCGCTAGGGCGCGCGCAGGGAAGCCACTGTTCACGCTCCCAACACAAACCCAAGCTTATTCGTCCACCAGACCGCTAGTACCCCGGCTCGGCACGCCACGCCCCTGCTCGGCACGCCACGCCCCTGCTCGGCACGCCACGCCACGCGCGGTTCCAATTCGCATCTGCGTGCTCCTTCACCTGGGGGCGGTCGCCAACGCGCCACGCCTCGCACCACCCCATTGCACAGGCCCTGCCCCGCACTCCGCGCCCCGCCCCGCGCGGTCCCTATTCTCACTCTGGGTGCTGATCCACACTGAGGTCGTCGCCAGTTTGCCCCGCCCACACGCTCCGCACGCCCTGCCCCGCCCCGCCCCGCCCGGCGTGGCCACTGTTCACGCTCCCAGTGCTTATCCACGTCAAGGCCACTGCCAGCGCACCCAAGGTCCGGGCGGAGAGGCGCGGACCCCCGGGAAAGGACAAGGAGGTGGCTATGCGTTCCGCGGCTGTGGTTCCCACCGGCGCCCGCGCGCCCACCGTCTCGGGGGAGCATCCGGGTCCCAGGTGCACCGCACCCTGAGCTTTCCTCCGGCTCTCGGGGCTGCCACCCACACCGCGCCCGTAGCTGCCATGGCCTCCGTGGCCCAGAGGAGCTCGGGTTCGGGCCGCCAACGGACCCCGCGACCCCGAGCGCTTCGCGGACTGCTGCTGCTCTGCCTGTGGCTGCGGAGCGGCGGCGCAGAGCAGCCGCGGGCGGTGCCCCTCCCGGGCGTCGGACAGCTGCTGCAGGAGTTCCGCCGGCCGCTGCGTCAGGAGCCGCCGCAGGAGGAGCTGGAGTTGGAGCTGCACGCCGGCGGCGGCTCCCGTGAGAGCTGCCCGGGTACGGGCAGCGGCAGCTACAGCGCCATGCCGGATGCCATCATCCGCACCAAGGACTCGCTGGCGGCGGGTGCCAGCTTCCTGCGGGCGCCCGCGGCTGTGCGGGGCTGGCGCCAGTGTGTGGCGGCCTGCTGTGCGGAGCCGCGCTGCTCGGTGGCGGTGGTGGAGCGGCCCCGGAGGCCCGCGGCCGCCGCGCTCGGCTGCTACCTCTTCAACTGTACCGCGCGCGGCCGCAGCGTCTGCAGGTTCTCGCCCCACCGCGGCTACAGCAGCTACAGCCTCAGCCGCGCGCCGGAGACCGAGCCAGGAGGCCCTGCGGCCCGCGGCCCAGCCACCTCCCCTCTGCTCGGTAAGCTGGGCCGGCGGGATCTGCTGTCCATAGATGAGACACCCTCATTCCAAGTTGTTTTCCAGGGGAGAGTCTGATTTCGCAGTCTTAAAGGTGCTTTCTCAAAAGTACAGGTAGATTGGTAGAGGTAGGCACAGTGGACTCCTTCTGGAAATTTTCAAGGCTTGAAGAGAGAGGTTGATCTGGGAAGATTCAGGAAATTCGAGTTAAAGAAGGTGAGACGCTCATAGCAAAAAAAAAAAAAAAAGTAAACGTTTATTATAGTCTCAGGGGTTTTTATAAGGTGTGATTTGTATCAAATAATTGCAAGAGCAAAATCTAATTAGATGCTCATCACATTCACCCCCATTTGTTAGCGTGACTCTCGCAGATTCTTATCGTTCAACCCGTAGTTGCTTTCATCCATCAAAAATAGGAAGGAAAATGTGCCAGGTAATGTGATATGGGGCCCAACAGATCCTCAGGAACTTTATGAAGTGAAAAAATGGTACTTGGTTATAGTTAAAAAGAAGACAGTTTAAATACGGCCTGGTTCTTTTTTTTTTTTTTAAGAGCTAAAAATGATCTTTTTTAGTTGGTGGTTTTGTTTTCTTCAAGTGCTCTGAATGAGGAGAGTCAATACACATATAGGAGGTGAAAAAAAAATTGTAGCAAGAGATGGGAGTCACTAAGAGTATAAACTCTTGATTGGGCCTGCTTGGGGTCCAGCTGGCCTTTGAATCATACTCTGACGTCGGCTGATTTGTGATCACACAAGAATGACATCATTAGATCATTAGCTAGGTTAGAGAGGAGGGTGGAAGGAGTCTGCACCACTTTGGAAATTGGAGGAGATTCTCCAGTATCCTGTGGGTGTAAACGGAAGAGGCTGAAAATCTTTTTTCATCATTCCTTGTCTGCCTTCCCACCTCCTGGAAGAGGAGGCTCAGAACCCTTGTCAGGAGAGCAGACATCACAGGGTCACCCTGTAAATGCCCAACCTTGAGGCAGACACTGGGGAAGACCAGCTGGCCACATAGTCACTGAAATTTTCTCTAAAATGGGGTAGTGGGGGAGGTGACACTTTCACTTGGATCCACATCAGCATCTTTGAGCCCTGCCCCATGCCTGTTACACACACCCTTCTGTGCCCAAATAAAAACAAAAGGATCCCAACAACAAAGAAACAAAATTCCCTTCCCTTGTTTTCACTAGCATGTCTGTAAGAAACTGACATTGCCAAAGGGAGCATGCTTATAAACCAGGGGAAAACAAAAGGAAAATAAGACCTTTCATTTAAAAAAAAAAAAATTAGCTCGGTAGAAATTACTAGTAGTAGTTTCTGCATTGTTTTCCCTTCTACTGAATTCCTTGCTCTCCTCTCTCCTAAGAGGAGTTTCTAGGAATTCTAGTTAGTCCACGTTCGGGGATGACAATAGATGCCCACTGGGATTGGTACTAGTTTCTGGGAGATCTTGCTATTCTAGCTTCTTTGTGTCCCCAGCAATATGGAAATGTGGAAAGATACAGTCAGGCTCAAGGGCATCCTAACTTATCTTTGGAGGTGGGGCAAAGGGCAAATCACCATTGATCTATTTGTCCCTGCCTGGGTACTTAACCTGTTGGCGTTTTGTGTGCTCCTGGGACTGCTGAATTTTTCCTTCTTGCATTCTTTCTTTTTCTGAATCTTGTGAGCATGTGGAGTTGGAGGCTAAAGGACCATGTGATGATTTTGAAAAATTCTTGCAGAGAAACTGTTATAGGATTATTTGAAGCAAATAAAAAGATCATGAAGCTATGGTGAGGGGCCAGTTGGGAACGCACAAATTTGTAAAGGAACCCATCAGATCAGCCTGGTTGGTTGCTGACCTTTATTGAGTTTGGTGCTAAGTCCTCTTCTAAGATCTTTAAGTATGTGAACTCACTCTAGCCTCTTAACAGTCCAGAGATGTTGGCTTGACTACAGACTGTAATCTCCACATGCACGAAGATTTAGCAGACACAGTGAGTTGTGGACCAGGTTATGGGGCAGCTCTGTTCAGCCACACAGCTTCATCTCTGTGTGCTTTCTCCAACAGTGCTTGGCAATCTGGAGGTGAAGGCAGAGGTGAGGACCTTGGATTTCCCATGGGAGGACTGACAAGGTGGATGTTGAGGGTTTTAAGAGAATGCAGGTATGAGTGGAGGATGCTGAGAAAGGTGTCTTGAATTCTGGTCCTGAGACTCAGCACTTCTACATACAAGTCCCTGCGAATCCTCTTGCAACTGCAGTGCCTGCCTGCCATCCTTCTCAGGTTGTGGTGAGGATCAAAGTGGACATAGTGAGTTATAGAGGCAGCACATGTGTACATGATATCACTGTAGCACCCTGGCTGGGTCATGGGACTGACTTCATGGTTCCCTTCTAATTTCTCAGCCATGGCTATTTTATTTGTGCCCAAGTAGCACAGATCCATATTCTAGAATCTCTTCCTTGTCGTTAAGTTTCTGTTCACAGCCATGTGTTGTAAAGCAGGTTAGTCAATCATATTATTCTTCTGTGTATAAAATAGCATCTTGTTGTTGTTGTTAGGTGCTGTCAGGTCAGTTCCATCTCATAGCAACCTTATGCACAATACAAAGAAATAGTGCCCCATTCTGCACCATCCTCACAATTGTTGTTACAGTTGAGCGCATTGCTGCTGCCACTGTGCCAATCTATCTCGTTGGAGGTCTTCCTCTTTTTCACTGACTCTCCACTTTACCAAGCATGATGTCCTTCTCCAGACACTGATCCCTCCTCATAAGATGTCTGAAATATGACAGATGAAGTCTGGCCATTCTGGTTTCTAAGGAACATTCTGGTTGTACTTCTTCCAATACAGATTTGTTTATTTGTTCTTCTGGCAGTCCATGGTACTTTTGATATTCTTCTCCAACACCATAACACAAATGCATCCATTCTTGTATGATTTTTATTCATTGTCCAACCTTCACATGCACATGAGGCTGTTGAAAATACTGTGGCTTGAATCAGAAGTGCTTTAGTCCTCAAACTGAAATCTTTGCTCTTCAACACTTTAAAGAAGTCTTGTGCAGCAGATTTGCCTAATGCTATATGCCACTGGTAGCATAGTGGTTACGAATCGGGCTGCTAACCTCAAGGTCGGCAGTTCAAAACTACCAGCTGTTCTGCGGAAGAAAGATGAGGCTTTCTGCTGCTGTAAAGATTTGCAGCCTCGGAAACCCTGTGCAGGCTCACTATGGGTCAGAACTGACTCCACGGCACTTAACAACAACAACAACGACATATGCCACTTAAGGAGGTATGGTGGCATAGTGGTTACGAGTTGGAAACCCTATTAACAGAATCAACTTGATGGTTGTGGGTTAGCTTGGTAATGTATAACCAATGAGTTGCATTCCAGAACTATAAAGTACTATATGTAATTGAGAAGGCCTGATGTGGTACTGTAGCATAAGCACTGGATGGCTTATCATAAGGTCGGTGGTTCAAACCCACCAGCCACTCCTTGGAAACCCTAGACAGAGTCTCTGTGAATCGGAACTGACTTCATGGCACTCAACAACAATAGCATATGTAATTGAAATTCACTTCAATGGGAACTTGTGTGAAAAGCAATGAGCCTTTCAGAACCAAAGGAAAGGTCCAGTGCTTATCCTACTATATCACCAGAGCTCCTAAGGAAAATCAAGACACTGTGAAGAGGATCAGGAACCCAGGGTCAAAGCAGAATAAAGACACCAGGCACTGAATCTCTGCTCCGAGGCCTAAAACGAACAAGTTTCTTCTTAAACAGGAAGTTGCTTACCTGGCTTATTTTAAATCAGAGTTATTATTCCTCAGTGTTTCAAATGACTGTAAATAGGACCTATCTTCTCAACAGACCCACATCCTCCTTGGCAATAGCCTAGTTCCCTGAAAGGGTCATAATGTATGTGTTCTATGAAGGAAGCAGCCTGGTGGTGGTGGTTATGTGCTGTGGAGTCAGTTCTGACTCATAGTGACCCTGCATGGGTTTCTGAGGCTGTAAATCTTTATGGGAGCAGAAAACCTCATCTTTCTCCCACAGAACAGCCGGTAGTTTCGAACTGCTGACCTTGAGGTTAGCAGCCCTACAAGAGCTCCTATCCCAAAAAGCCATCGCTCTAAGACCCATGTGCCTCTCATCCATTGTGTGGTGCTCAGCATTGAAAGGATCTCTAGATAAGAAGATGAAGCTGGAGGGCTGGGCCCTCCCTGGGACATCCAAAGGTAATGGTGACTTGCTGAAGGGTTTTTCTTAAGTAGGGAAGCGACCCAATCAGATTGGCATTCCAGAAGAATCATGCTAGCTGCCAAAGTATTGAGAGTGACTACACTGCAGGTTAATGCACTGAACTACAAGGTCGATTGGAACCACATGGTTAGTGGTTCAAGCTCACTAGCCACTCCTTAGAAACTCTATACACAGGGTTGCTGTGAGTCAGAACCGACTTGACAGCACTTAACAACAACAACCTCTGTTGCTAATGAGAAACTGTAGGAGTACAGCTAGCCCCAAAGCTCAGGCACTGACTGACATCCCTTAGGGGATTGCTTAGCAACAGATTCAGCTGTGGAGGAAAGTGATAGGCTCCCAGAGTCAGAAGAGGGCAGCCGCAGCGGTGTCAGGGAGGAACAAGCCGAGACCACCTTTCAGACCAGCACTCTGGCACTGGAGGAAGTAGTGGGTGGGTTATAGAAGTAGGTGTGGGCATAGTGGGTGGGTTATAGAAGTAGTGGGTGTGGGCGTAGTGGGTGGGTTATAGAAGTAGTGGGTGAGGGCGTAGTGAGTGGGTTATAGAAGTAGTGGGTGAGGGCGTAGTGGGTGGGTTATAGAAGTAGTGGGTGAGGGTGTAGTGAGTGGGTTATAGAAGTAGTGGGTGAGGGCGTAGTGGGTGGGTTATAGAAGTAGGTGTGGGTGTAGTGGGTGGGTTATAAGGACCTGTAGAATTTTTTCCAGTTTTATTGCTACTTTTCTTTAAAACGTGTACATCTGGATATATTTACTAATAAGCTTAAATCAATAAAACTACTCACAACTGTGATATTTTTGACATGGTTTCTAAGACAGTTTGTGCCTTCCATCTTCTCTGCAGCTGTCAGCCAAGTATTCATATTTAAGTGAACATCATTAGTCTTAAATTATTTAGTACCAGTATGGATGAAAGGTGTAACTACATTTTGCTACTGCAGGTCATCTCAACAGAAACTCAGAATAGCAACTGCTAATAGAAAAATTGATTTAGAATCTGTGAATCTCTTCCATTTTCCTAGAGGAAAATTTGTAGTCCAGAGAATTTCCATGTAACCTTGATTTTATATGGATCCAAAGACTTAACTTTCCAAACTGAATATATTTTCCTTGTTGTTGTTAAGTGCTGTCAAGTCAGTTTCAACTCATAGTGACCCTGTGTAGGGTTTCTGAGGAGCAGCTAGTATGTTTGAAATGCTGGCTTTGTGACTCAAAGTGACCTTGTGGTTCTACGCATTATCCCACGGTGCCACCCCAGGACTCCTATTCCTCCCTACCCTCTTAGGATACTTTATGGAGTCCTGGTGTAGCACTGCAGAATAATGTACTGGACCACAAGGTCAGCAGTTCAAATCCACCAGCCACTCCTCGGAAACCCTTATACAGTGTCTCTATGAGTCAGAATCGACTGGACAGCACTTAACAGCAAGGATTGTATCACTTCTACTAAAACAATTTGAGGACAAGGAAAAAGAAAATGTATTAGAGGTGATTTTTTTAAAAAATTTTAAAACATTTTAATAAATATATGAATTCACTTAATAGAACTTTGAACTTAAGTCATTTATAAATTAAGTTTAAAATTCACTCTAAAGAATAAAACTTCTCCAGACTTATATAGTAGAGGGCCCCAGTATACCCACAACTTCGTCCTAGCTGCCTCCAATAGCCAACACTCCACACTTCCGCCTCTACATGTTGTTGTTGTTGTTGTGTGCCCTCAAGTCGGTTCTGAGTCATAGCGACCTATGTATGGTTTCTATACCTTTATGGGAGCAGAAAGCCTCATCTTTCTCCCACAGAGCAGTCAATAGGCTTGAACTGCTGACCTTGTGGTTAACAGTCAAATGCCTATCCCACTGTATCACCAGGCCTCCCATCTGCATGTATGATGGCTAAATTCCATATTCATAATATGGTGCTATTTCTTTCTTTTAAAAAAAAATTTTATGCCTACTTTGTGCTAATAAGTACCATGGTAGATCTGCTCCCTAGGTTAAGTTGTTTTTTTGATTGTTTGTTTGTTTTTAGTTTTTATTGTGAATTAAGTGATCGTTTACATGGGAGAACTTCAGCTTTATACTCATTGTTTCATTGCAATGATTTCAATACCCTCCGTGTATCATCATTCAACAGTATTTGCTTCTATTCCCTCTGGGTTTTGTTGGTTGGTTGGTTGGTTGGTTGGTGGGGTGTACACCAAAACACTCAGGAATATATAATCATTTAAACAACCAACGGGTACATTCTGCAAGCCTGCCTCTTGGCTGCCAGCACACAGCCTTTCTCTTTCCATGAGTCTATAGTGCTCAGCTGCTGTATCTCTCCAGGTCATCTCTGCCTGCATCTCTGATCTCACTGCTTCTCTGAATAGAGTCCAACATTCCACTCATGTTCTTCCCCCTTGATGGCCCTAAGGTCCTCTGTGCCTGGACTGTAAGATTAACTGCTTCTCTGTTTTTGTTACAAAACTTCTACCTTTACAGTTGTGACAGTCACAATTAGTCAGGATAACAGTCACTCACTATTGAATTATAAGAATCTTATCCCCCATCTCCTTTCACCAGACTTGTCTAGACAAGATGAAAACCATTCAGTGGAGATTCTGCTTTCCCCCCTACCCCCACCCCACCCCACATACTCTGAAACTAAACTTCTCTTGAAAACTTGTAAGCCAGTCACTTTGTGCCTTTATTGCCCCCCATTTTAGGTAGCCAATGCTTACATTGCCCATTACTATCACCCCTGCATACAGAGGAAGTAGGATGAAGATTTCTTCCCTCTCAGTTGGTATTTTGAGCTACTACATTCATAAACATAGGTCAAGTTCATCAAATTGTAGCAATTTACACTTGTTTCCTTTATCAGATTTTTTTTTATCTTCTTTTAGAGGCATTGTGATCTTCAAGCCATCAAAGCTAGGTCAAATGGGTGGTTCTATTTCGTTTTATTAGGTAAACAGAACACAATGAAGATCAATAAGAAGTTACTTTCAGTTAATCTATATTCTGTTAACATTTCTCTGTTGGACCACATCTGTTTTAGCAAATAAGATTCCTCTCTTTTTGTTGTTGCTGTTGGTTCATAGATATTTATTCTTTACCATACTTCTTGTGCATACATTTATTTGTTTGGAAGTTTAGACGAATCCATTATTTTTAAATGTGGGCAAATGATTTAGAGTAGAAAGTATGTCTCCCTTCTCTTCATGCCCTCTATCTCCCTAGAAGACACCACTAATATAGTACTTGTTTGTTGTTGTTGTTGTTGTTGTTGTTGTTAAGTGTTGTTGAGTTGGTTGCATATTTGGGTATCTGTACAATGACCTTGTCTAGGGTTTCCAAGGAGTGTCTGGTGGGTTTGAATTTCCGACCTTGTGGTTCAAATTGACCTTGTGGTCCAGCGCATTTCCCTGCAGTGCCACACCAGAACTATGGTACTTAATGAATTATATATGCATATACACACCTGTTTGGAGTCCTAATGTGGCACTACAGGCGAATGCACTGGACTGCAAGGTCAGCCCCCAGCTGCTCCTCGAAAACCTTATACAGGAGTGCTGTGAGTCAGACTGATTTGACAGCATTTAACAGCAACAGCATACATATGTGTTTACACACATAGTCTCATAATAAACATATTGTTCAATATCTTGCTTTAGATTGTGCCATTATAATGCATTAGACTGTCTCATACTGTATCCAATCCATTTTCTTATTGAATTGTTGATCTTCATTCATTTATAGGGCCCCCTTTTATAAGTATTTTTCATATGCAAATATATTTCCCTAGTTTGTCTGTTGTCTTTGATTTTAAGATCTCTCTCTTAATAAGTTACAGAAAAATAGAACATCACCTCTCCATGAATAACGTATTTCCATTCATAGACGATGATAAGCCTCCGATTAGCAAGGCCGGACAGGATGTGGTCGTGCATCTGCCCACGGATGGGGTGACTTTGGACGGCCGCGAGAGCACAGATGACCACGCCATCATCCAGTATGAGTGGACGCTGCTGCAAGGTGACCCTTCAGTGGACATGAAGGTAAATCCCCTTGCCATTGTGCGTGGAAACCGACATTTCAGTAAAGCATTCTTTAGTAATGACCTTCCACTTGTATTCCCAAAATGCCTCAAACCAAACCCACTGTCATCAAGTCAATATCGACTCATAACCACCCTACATAAACAAGTAGAGCTGCCCCGTAGGATTTGTGATGAGTCCTGGTGTGGTGCTGTAGGATAATCACTTCACCACAAGATCGGTGTGAACTACAGCGTTTAGCAGTTCAAACCTGCCGGCCACTCCTTGGAAACCCTATACAGGGTCGAAATGAGTTGAAACCTACTCAATGGCACTTAACAGCACAACCAATCTTAATTGCAGCAGACTTCCACATCTTTTTCCAGAGGAGCAGCCGGGAGGTTCGAACCACCAACCTTTTGTTTAGTAGCCAAGCACTTAACACTCTGTGTCAGTTGACTAGCAGAGAGATATAAAATGGAAAAAGTATAAAATGACTTGTCAAAATAAAAAATTGGTTTACTCTATAAATGTGTTTTTCTACTAAGTAAATAGGGGTCTGGGTCCCTGGGTTTGAAGTTTACCCTCAGTTTTGCAGGTTTTAGTTGACTGCTCAAGAATTCTCAGACATTTTAAAGAAAAAAGGCTCATGCTGTCTTTTCATGGGAGGAGCCCTAGTGGCACAGTTGTTAAAGCAGCCGTTTCAAATCCACCAGCCATTCTTCGGGAGAAAGATGTGGCAGTCTGCTTCCATAAGATTACAGCCTGGGGAGCCCAATGGAGCAGCTCTACTCTGTCCCACTGAGTCACTGTGAGTTAGAATCGACTTACAGTTATGTGTTTGGTTTGGGGCCTACATAGTAACTTATTAGTCAGTTCCTCTCTAGGAACTTTGTTTCCTTTTTTGCATCTGACAGCAACTTTTTTTTCAGCACTTTCAGTTGCTTGTGTGTGTCTGCTCTGCAGATTCTCTTTTGACCCTTTTGCTAAGTCTCTCTGTAATCAGTGAGTTAAAGATTTAATACATGTCCATACTGTGTTTGTGTGGGAGCCATGGTTTTTACCATTTTAGACTTCATTTTAACAATAATTAACCACCTTTAAGGGACCATGTATCTGCTCTTTTTAAGGTGGGCAGCCTGGTTTTACAGTCCAGTATTTCCAGCAGGAGAGTGGGGATTCCCAAATCATTTTTTTCCTGAGTGTGTCATCCAGCTGGCTCAAGTGTTAGTGTGCTCTTCCTTCAAGCTGTTAACTGTCAAACAGTGAAAACCCAGCTTTGTTTAAGTTCCTTCTTCCTGTTAGGCCTGAAACTCCTCCCCTGCCCCCAACATGGTTGTTCATCCACTTCATCTCTTTTGCCCCCAGTGAGGGCATTTAGCAACAATACCAACAAGGTTTGGGTTTGAGTTAGGCTCCTAACTGCAAGATCAGCAGTTCAAACCCACCAGCTGCTCCATGGAGAAAACCGAAGCTCTTTGTTCCTATGAAGATTTCGTCTTAAAACACTAGGGAGCAATTCCACTGTGTCTTATAGCAGGGGTGGGTCTGGCCCTGCCAAGATAACTGCAGTGCCAGCCATCACATTTGTTGTTGTTGTTGTTAAGCGCCATCGAGTCAGTTCAGACTCATAGCGACCCTGTATAGGGTTTCTTTCCAAGGAGCAGCTGCTAAATTTGAACCATCAACCTTGCAGTTCAAACTGACCTTGTAGTCTGCAGCACCATACCAGAACTCTAGCCATCACATTAAGGGTGAGTTAATTAAATGTTTGACCAAATATAGCAAGCTAATTTTTAAGTTAATAATTTTGTACAGCCCGTGAAAGACGTTATAAATTTTGGCAGGAAAAAGGTTTGTCTGATAGGGTTGTTATGAATCAGAATTGACTCTGTGGCAGAGGGTTTGGTTTGGGGTTGATTCTGTATGCCAAAGGAATAAACTGCAGCCCCCATTTTTCCTTTGTGCCTGTGACCCCTTGTCACTGGGATTTTTCTCTGGTATACTGGAAATTAATCCAGATTATAGTTTGCATGGAACAGTATTCCTGCTGATAAGGAAAAGGGGTTAGTCTTGTGCTTTCAAGACAACACTCAGGGTGGTCTTTCAGTACTGCAGGAGAATTTTATTGCAGGATAAGCACTGGACTGCTAACCACAAGATCAGCAGCTCAAACCACCAGCTGCTTTCAGAAACCGTCTACAGGGTCACTGTGAGTCAGAACTGATTCCCTGGCACACAGTAACAACCACTGCAACCCAACAAGATCAGGTTTTGATACTGGAAACCTAGACAAGCAGCCTGGCCTTCACCGAGCCCTTCACCAGCGAACCAGTCACATTAAAGGCTGCTAACCAACCTGTAGGTGTTTACTGAAAACCTATAACGTATCCAGAACTAAGCTAGGGATTGTGAGGCAGCTAGAAGAAGTATCATCGTAGTTTCTTTCCATGACAGTTTATTGGGAAAGACAAAAATTATATGAACAACAGAGGAAAAACAATAACAAAAATCATATACCTCCTGAGCAAGTACCCAAGGGTTCTCTTAATGTTTAATGTAAGTACTTGTGACCACCTGCTATTTCTGGATCTGAGGTAGGCCCACATCTCCCCATTCACCTCTGACTCCTATGAAGGAACTTCAAAATGTTTGTGGAAAAAATTCATTTGTCTTTTCATTTCATTTTTCCTCAGACTTTTTTGTTGTAGTTGTTGTTATGTGCCATGGAGTCGGTTTCCAACTCATAGCAACCCTGTACAGGGTTTCCAAGGCTGTGAATCTTTACGGGAGCAGAAAGCCTCATCTTTCTCCTGTGGAACCGCTGGTAGTTTCGAACTGCTGACCCTGAGGTTAGCAGCCCGATTCGTAACCACTACGCTATCAGAGCTCCTTTTTTAGGCCCCCTCAAATGTTCTAATTCCCCTGAGTCTCTGTTTGTTGTATCTTACCTCCTGTGACTTATATTCTTCCTACTCAGTACCAACCCAAAAAGAAATAAGGTCACCTTATCCTCAGGTTCCCCCCCATAGCTGATATGTGTGGCTGACTTTGAAGGTGGTTAGGAGTGGAGGAAGGGCAGTTAGCAAAGTAGTTAACATTGGAAACCTTTGTTCTGAAGTCCCTGGACCTTTTCTACCATCCAGCACTTCTCACGATGGGCCCTTCTTAAGCCCTGCTCTCTCCTCTCCTTTCCCTTGCTCAGCACCATCCCCATGGACCCAGCATCACTTCTCTCCTGTTCCTGGTAGAATAGCCGCATCACCCTCTGTTTTGTTGTGCTTTAAGCCCAGGCTCCACAGCAAAATGGCCCGTTGAGGTATTTTTAAAACAACAAAATTCAATGAAGTTATTACCCTAGGAGGATTCTTGCTGCCAGTTTCATTATGATACAACAATCACTAGCTTTGTAGCATCGATTGTGTGTCCTCTCCTATTCTGTGCGCATTGTTGTTGTTGTCCAGTGCCGTCAAGTCAGTTCTGACCCATAGTGACCCTGTATAGAGTTTCTAAGGAGTGGCTGGTGAGCTTGAACCACCAACCTTGCTGTTCAAACCGACCTTGCAGTCCAGCACATTAACCCACAGCACCACACCAGAACTCCATGTCCCATGTACACAGTGCATGGATTATGCTGGGTAGAAAAGCTTCTTTGTCCCAATTTGTCATCTTCCTTCATGAAGAATAGGAGGAGTGATTAGTCAGAACCAAGTGGCTGCCCTCCTGATTTAAAAGTTCCATATCTGCTGCTTTTAAACAGGATCTGCACCCTGTTTTAAGCTGTTTTAAGCAGAAATCCACTGTTAACTGGGTATTCATCTGTAATGTATCTTAATGCAGGAAGATCTTTCAGGGTCCTCACTAGATGATAATGCATTTCATGAGCATGAAACATAATTCATTTCAATCTGACGTCAGATTGCAAAATATGACATGTAGGAGAAGGACACGTGTATAAAGATGTTCAGGGATATTTGGAATTCATAAATCAGCAATGAATTCACTGCAGATGCTTAAAATGATTTAACAAAATTATTTTAGTAACAAAAACTTACTGAAAGATGGATATTGTGCACATCAGTTACTTCGTTATGTAAATCAGAACCAATTACACACCGGCTTACCTACTGCACATAATTGGTGGTGGGGGTTATGTGCCGTGGAGTCAGTTCCGACTCACAGCGACCCTGCATAGAGTTTCCGAGGCTGTCAGTCTTTACAAGAGCAGAAAGCCTCATCCTTTCAATCTGCTGACTTTGCATTTAGCAGCCCAGCTCATAATCCACTGAACATAATTAGAATAAGAAAATTCATAGAGACAGAAAGTAGGCTAGTGGTTAGCATGGGCTGGGGTGGGGAGGCGGACAGTTCTGCTTGATGTGTATGGAGTTTCTGTTTGAAGTAATGAAAAGTTCTGAAATAGATACTGGCAATGGTTGCACAACACTGTAAAAGTAATAGTTGTTGTAAAGTGCCATCGAGTCAGTGCTGACCCATATTGACCCTGTATAGGGTGTCCAAGGAGTGGCTGACCTTACAGTCCAGTATATTATCCTGCAGCACCATACCAGGACTCTGTGAAAGTAGTGAATACCATTGAATGGTCACAGAGGAGTAAATCAGGTGTCTATATTTGATCACAGTAAAATTAGAGAGAGACAGGGTGTGTTCAGACCAGGCTAGTAACTGTGGGTGTAAGGAGGAGTGGTCAAATTCAAGCTGTAATTTTTAGGGTCAAGCTGACAGAATTTCCTGAGGGATTGGTTGTAGCTGGGAAAGAGTAGAGGGACGGAATAGGACACAGTGGTTTCAAACCACAGTGCTGCCTGGGTTCACATCCTGCTCGTCTGACTCCCTATCACTCTAGATTGCTCTCGGACTGACCCTGGTAGCACAGGATGCACTGACTTCTAGGTTCAATTGCCCACTCAGAAGCTTTAAAGTTGTCTTGTGTCATCGTTAGCTTTCTTTCATCTTTTAGCGCTCACATCAGTGACCCCTGTCAGGCATGCTCCCAGGGTCGGAGGCCTGAGGCAAGGAACAGCAGTGAACACAACCTGTGTGTCTTTGAAACAAACAACACAGGACGGTGCTTAACGCTTTTGTAAGGAAAGGGACAGGCAGCTTGCAGCCAGTGTCCACTGTTAGGCAACAGGAGGTCTCAACCCTGCCACAGTCTCAGTCACATTCCGAGGTTCTGCTTCCTTATCTGTAGACGCTGGGAAACATCATTCGACTCGAGAAGGAAATCCACCAATGGAGGCGCTGGGAATATTTGGCACTGACAACACGCCAGGCCCTGTATTAGCTCTTTCACGTGGGCTAGATCTCATTAGATCCTCATAAGATACATGCTGTTATTACTTACATTTTACAGACAAAGAAACTGAGCCTCAGAGAAGTTAAGTGACTTATACAAGGTCACACAGCTGGTACACGGTAGGTCTGTTGGACCTACAACTTCACCTATGTTTCTTTAAGTGTGGTTGCTACCTCACCTGCATAAGCATCGCCTGGCTGAGCTTATCAAGTGCAGATGTCCAGGTCTCTGGCTTTCGGAAGCTGGAGTCCAGAAGCCTGTATCTTCCCAAGAGGCTCGTAGCCTAAAGTAGACTAGGAGTCCTGGTGTGGCGTTGTGGGTTAATGCACAATACTGCATGGTCGGCTGGAATCACAAGTTGGCGGTTCAAGCTCACCAGTCACTCCTCAGAAACCCAATACAGGGTCGCTATGAGTGTGAAACAACTCAACGGCACTTAACAAAAACAACAAAGTGTGACTATGTCTCATTCTGTTGCCTCTACCTACCTGATTGTAAATATTCTCCAAGTGAGTGTGAAGTGCTGGCACATCCTCTAAGTCAAGGTTCCATGTGAGAGTCTAGATTCTAGGATTTCATTAATAAAAACAAACAGATGGTTGTTGTCAAAGGGCAGCCCTCTGCACTTTGAAACATCATTAATGCATCAGTGTATTAAGGATGTCTAATAGTCAGTATTCATTCGCAGAAAACAATATCCAGGTGGGATATTCAAGCAGAAAGCCATTATCTTACAACAGACTGTTAAACAGTTAATAGAATCACAGGAGGCCTGAAGAAACCATCTTCAGACTGAGTTTCCAAGAGTGATCCCCCAAATCGCCCCACACAACAGGACTAGGAAGCGACTGCGGTTGTCATGGTCAGGAAGTTGCCGACAGAACTCTATGAGAAGAGCCGAGGATGAAGGTGGGGGTTTGGTTTAAGAGTGAGCAGAAGAGAAGCCCATGAGCGCTGTTGGCAAAGACTGGTCAGGGGTCTAGGCAGGGAACAGAAGCCAAGGAAGGAAGAATGCCCTGAGAACAGAGTGACCAGCATTGTTAGATGCAGAAAGAGGGCCCGTTAGGGAAGTTAATAATGAGAAAAACCAAACACCTAGTGAATTTGAAAACAAGATGACCTTTGCTGGCTCAGTTAGTGAGTTTCGTCAGTCGTTTCATGGAATCATGGGGAAAGGAGTCAAATAAGTGAAGAGTCATGTGATACAATAGTGAATAACTGCTAATACGACTGACTGTGAGGGTTGGAAATGTAAAGGTAGATATTTTGTAGCAAAAGGAGGCAAGTGGTTGGCTTTGCAATCTAGGAGCAGAGGGCCCTGGGACCATCAAGGGAGAAGAGTGGAGAGCAGGACGCTACCTAGAGAAGCAGTAACACCAGAGATGGAGGCAGAAATGATGACATGGAGAGATGGAGCGGCTGGGAACTCTAGCCCCGAGAGGGAGAGGGGCTATGTGCTGACGACTGGTGGGCAGACTTGCAGGGTATACCCTGTGGTTGGTTGATGATGCATGGAAGGGATTGTAACCATGGCAATGAAATGATATATCATAGGATGAATGTAAAGTTAATGTTCTCCCATGTAAACTATCACATAATTCACAATAAAACATTAAAAAAAAAAGTCATTGGGAAAACGGATCACAGTGAGGATGGAACAACATGGTGAACATAGTTAATGTCACTAAACTGTACATGTGAAAATTGTTAGAAGGCCCATTTTTTTATACATGAACGTTTACCACAATTTTTAAAAAGAAGAAATGAAAAAATGAGAAACAGCAACAGCATGTGCCATCCAGACAACTCCAGGAGGCGGCGCTGTGCTGAAAAGGAAGTCACACTGTAGTAGAGTTCAAAGAGTAGGTTATTTGTCACTTTCCGGTTTTTTCAGTCAAGAGAAACTTGAGCATAGTAATAGGGGAGTCATCTGAAATAGAAATGAGTCAGTGTTTTGAAAATCTCAAGAGAAAAGCAGTCGAGGACCAGACAAAGGTTTTGGCCTGGAGCACAGGCAAAACAGCTGGTCCCTGGAGACTGGAGGGAAGAAGGTGCCAGTGGTGATGAAGCTAATCACTGGTAACCGGCTTCTCATCTTTCCTTGTGATAGAGAAGGGATGGACTCCATGTTGGGTGGGGAGCTAGGAGAGGACTTACAGGTTTGGAACAGCAGCTGCCATGGATAAGTAAAGGGATTGTCAGCTGAGGGTGTTGTCATCCCAGATAAAGCTGGAAAGCATGAATTCAAGGTGCGACCAGCCAGCTAAAATGGTAAGTGGACCAGGTCTGGAAAGGCAGGTCATGGGACCACTGCTAGCATGGCACTGATATCCAGTTTGGGAGCATGTTAAACAATGTGCCTCAGGTCTCCTCATGACCTATGTTGTTTCCTGTTTGGGCATCAGGTACCTCGCTCAGGAATGCTGAAGCTGTCCTACCTACAAGAAGGAACATACACCTTCCAGCTGACCGTGACCGACACTGCGGGTCAAAGAGGCTTTGACAACATCTCAGTGACTGTGCTCCCGTCGGCCTACTCCGCAGGAGGTGAGGACAGAGTCCCCTCCGAGCTGGGTGTGGAAGGATGGTGTGGGGGCTGGGATGTATGTCCTGACTGTGCCCCCCACAGGCTCTTCCATTTTCCTGTTTGTCGCTGTGGAATGAGAGAATCTACTGAAAATGTAAAAACAGAAGCAGACCCCACTGTATTGGGGATAATGACACCTCTGGTGTGAGAGGTTAGGCCCTATATTAGCAGGTTGGGCCCTAAATCCATTCCTTCTTTTCATGACTCATTTTCACCAGGAGTGGATTTTGTTTCAAGGTGGAGGAACACCCTCAATGAAATGGATTGGTTCAGTTGCATCAGTAATGGGCTCAAACATGACAGTTGTGAGGATGGCGCAAGACCAGGCAGTATTCCGTTCTGTTATACATCGGGTCACTGTGAGTCAGAACTGACTCAGGTCTGGTACCTCACTCATTGTTAGGATGGCATCTAACAACAGCAACAGAATGTTGAAATGACAAATGTTTTGTTACATATATATTTTCCACAAACAACAGCAGTAGCCACACTGTTGAGCACCTTGGCGTGGTGGGCATGCGCACTGGCCACTGGAAGCGCATTGTGGCTTCAGCCCACACCACTCACCCACGTATCTGCTCGCCCCCATCTCCCGGGTTCGTTCTAGCCTCTGCAGGGATTGCCTCACATGTTTTCTAGTAGGAAAACTAACTATAGCCCTCCTGAGAAGAAGAAACAGATAGGTCCTGTCTTCTCTACAAATCTCGGCAGTCTCCGCCAGCACCGAAAGAAGCAGGTGGCTAACACCTCACAGCTGTTGTTTGCCTAGCTTATTTACCCAGGCCGATTTTCCAGGTTCCAAAGGTCTATTGCCAGTTATAAACTTGTAGCCTTTCTCTAAGGTGACAGTAAAATGTATCTGAAGTAGCAGAGTGATGTGAATCACTTTGGGTTCCTAAGAGGCCTCTTGTGTGTGTACCTCATATAGACAATAAAAGAGCCGAGTCATATGCTGCATGGATTAGATTAAAATCTCATGCTGTGAAGTAAAATTAATAGAACACCACAGGGTGACACCGAGAAGCAGAGGTAGGAAGAGAGTCACTCCTCTCCTCTGTTATTATAGATGTTGATAGCCAAGGGGGACACCTTCTAGGGTAAATAGACAAGCAGGCACCCCTACTTAAATGCTAATGTTGCTGTTGTGTAGATGCTGTCTAGTGGATTCCAACTCATCACACAGGTTTGAACTGGCCCATAAGGTTGCGTCCCTGTAATCTTAGAAGCGATGTGCCAGGTGTCTTAACTTGGGCTCTCTAGAGAAATACAACCAGTGAAATGTGTGTACAAGGGGGACTTCAAAAACAGAGTGTGGAAAGATGGAACTAAAAGATAATGGAATTTTCTCTTAATTCTATTTTAATTCTACAAGGAGGAGTGCGATAATTAAAGGGGATAGAGGTAAATACTACTACCTGATAATACCTGAGGGGGGTTGTAATCATTGAAATGAAACAAAGTAAATGATTTGTTGAATATAAAACTGATAATCTGCTCTGTAAACATTCACTCAATTCACAATAAAAAAAAGTTATAAAATAAAATGATAATGGAATTTTCCCACAAGCTTTTTGGAACACCCCTCCCCTCTATGCACGATGGTGCTATAGGATAAGCACTGAACTACTAGTCCCAGGATTGGCAGTTTGAGCCCACCACCCACTCCTCAGGAGAAACATGAGATGAGACTTTCTGCCCCCGCAAAGATTTACAGCCTAGGAAACCCTTTAACAAGTTGCTATGTTGCTGGCTCCTACTCATCGTGACCCTGTGCTGACCCTCCAGTGCCACAGAAAACCCTGTAGGGTGGTTCTCTGTCACGTGGGATCACTGTGAGTCATAATCGACTCAACAGCACCTAACAGCAACAGAAATCTAGAAATAGATGAAGAAATAACCAATCTGGGGTTCTAGCTCCTAAAACTACCAAGAAGTAAAGAAAACCTTGAGCGCTTAGATATTCATGTCATACAATGAACATATGTGACCAGTCACTGTACCCTACATTCATTCACACAACTCCCTTGATCTTTTCTCCCATCTCCTACTCTGGGGCTAATGCTGACTCTTCTTTCTCGGTCCAAGTTCACTGTCAAAACCTCAGGCTCTTTGCTGCTTCTTTCTCCTCCGAGAGTTTCCACTACCACTTCTCTTTAAGTTTTCTTGTGATGAAATACATACATATACATCTCACCACTCGTCTGTCAGTCTGTCGTACTCTGGTGGCTTGCGTGTTGCCGTGATTCCAGAAGCTCAGCCACAGGTACTTTCAATACCAGCAGGGTCACCCATGGTGGAAAGGTTTCAGCTGAGCTTCCAGACTAAGACAGACTAGGAAGAAGGAGAGACAGACTACTTCCAAATACTTAGACACTGAAAACCTTATAAATAGCTGTGGAACACTGTTAGCACGAAAATATTGAATAGGACCGGGCAGTATTACATTCTGTTGCGCATAAGGTTGCTATGAGTCAGTACCGACTCGACAGCACCTAACAACAATATATATAACAAAGCATTTGCCATTTTAACCATTTTAATGTGTGCAAATCAGTGATATTACATCCACCATGTGTACCATCATTACCACTATCCATTGGTAAACTTTTTCATCACCCTTACGGAAACGCAGTATCCCTTAAGTGACAACTCCCTACTTCCCGCTTCTGCCTGCCCCTGGTAACCAATAAACTTTACCCTCAGTGCAGTTGCCTGTTGTAAATTTTTCCTATAAGTGAGACTGTACGGTATTTATCCTTTCGTCTCTGTCTTATTTACTCAGTCTACTGTCTTCAAGGCCATCCATGTGATAGTTTCCATCAGAACATCAATTCTCTATAAAGTTGAATAGTATCCCATTTGTAGATAGACCACATTTTATTTCCCCTTTCATCTGCTGACAGACGCCTTGAGTTGTTTCCATGTTTCAGCTGTTGTGAAGAATTCTGCAGTGAACATTGGTGTACAATTATCTGTTTGAGTCCCTCCTTTTCAGTCTTTTGGGCATGTACCCAGTACCACTTCTTGGCTTTACCCTCTTTTTCCTCCTGGCTCCAGATACCTTCAGTTTGCCTGGCATGCAGATCTGTCACCTTTGCCAACCTCTTTGACTTAACTGCTTTTCAATAGAATATGTATCCAAGCATTTTCTCGGGTGTATATTCCATAATCACCCATTGTTTCTCTTGCTCCCTGTGGAATGTAACATTTATTTGCTACTCTCTCATGTCTCTAGGAGAATTATTTAGTCCATTCTGTCCCTAGAAAATTATGAAACTCCCTACAGTCTAATCCTAGCCTGGTCCCTTTAGTCTGCATTGCCAGCACCAGCCACCCAATCCTTGTGAGGCGAAGTCTAGGAAAACTGACTTAATCTGAAGGAGGGAGAGATGTCTTTCAAGAGAATGCATGCAGCTCCAACAAATTGCGCTGCCCAGAGCATTAACCCACAGTCCTGGTGTGGTACTGTGGGTTAATGCTCTGGACTGCAACACTGATTTGAACTGTAAAGTTGGCAGTTCAAGCTCACCAACTGCTCGTCAGAAACTCTTTACAGGGTTGCTATGAGTCAAAACCAACTCGACAGCACTTAACAACAACAAAATAGCTCAAAGATGAGGCTTTCTGCCTCAGAAACAGGGTCACTATGAGTCAAACCCAAACTTCATCTCTCGTACTTCAGACATATTGTCAGGAGGGACCAGTCGCTGGAGAAGGAGATCATGTTTGGTGAGCTGGAGGGTCAGAGAAAAAGAGGAAGACCCCCCCAGCGAGATGGATTGGCAAAGTGGCAGCATCAATGGGCTCAAATGTGGCAACAATAGTGAGGTTGGCCCAGGACCGGGCAGTGTTTCGTTCTGTTGTGCATAAGGTCACTATGAGTCGGTACCAAGATGATGGCACCTAAAAACAATGAGTCAAATTGACTAGACAGTACTTTAAAGTAACAACAGTAGTTAAAGGATGAGATGAATGGATGGGGGTCGAGTGAGACCACAGGGATGAAACTCAGGTGGAGACCAGAACTGCTGCCCCTCTGCTCTACCTTGTAGACAGTGAAAGCTTAGAGAATGGCCCTGAGGTGAAGATTCCAATGAACCCAGGAGGATCAAGAAGAGAGCCTCTAACCTGCCCAGAACCTTACTCCAGCTCCTCTTTATAAATGTGTTGTGTCGTTGCCATCTAGTCGATTCTGACTCCTGTGGTCCTTTCAGTAAAACTTAGCCAAGCAGAGACTCCATCATACACATGGTCTCTGGAAGTCTTCATTGTCCTTTCCTCCTGTGATATGAGATTTGTTTATAAACAGGATGCCTGAAGGTTTGCTCACGCTACCACTTCTTCTGTGACGATGGCTGTTGCATTGACATCACTCTGGCCTGCGATGGAATGGAGCAGTGTCCTGATGGGTCTGATGAGACCTTCTGTCAAAAGTGTGAGTGGGCCACCTGATGTTTTCAGACAAAAGGGACCAACGGGAGGAAATCGGGATGGCTGTGATGGTACCACAAAGTGGGAACGCCTTATTGTCTCTACTGTCTTTCTTCTACCTGGTTTTAGGTTTAACATGATGTGAAAAAGGTATGATTTAAGTAAAAATTCACTGTAAGCCTCTACAAACCCTGGTGGCACAACGGTTAAGCAGTCAGCTGCTAACTAATGGTTGGCGGTTCAAACACACTAGCTGTTCCACATGAGAAAAGGCCTGTCAGTCAGCTTCTGGAAGACCTGTGAGGCAGTTCTACTCTGTCCTGTGGGGCCATTTCATTCTTGACAACTTCCAATTTTCCTAGATTCATACTTCGTGCATTCCATGTTCCAATTATTAATGCAAATGCATGCTTACAGCTGTTTCTCCTTATTTCGAGTTGTGCCCCAGCAGCAAATGAAGGTCCTGAAAGCTTTACTCCATTTGCATCATCATGGTCAACTGTACTTTGAGGAGGCAGCTTCTCCCCAGTTGTATATTGAGTGCTTCCCAATCTGAGTGGCTCATCTTCTGGCACCCACTCATCTGTCAATTTGTTGTACTGTGGTGGCTCGCATGTTGCTGTGGTGCTGGAAACTATGCCTCCAACATTTTAAATGTCCACATTGTTACACCCATTGTGGACAGCTTTCAGCTGAGCTTCCAGAGTAAGGCATACTAGAGATGAGAGGTGGGCTACTTCTGAACACTTAAACCCCGAAAACTTCTGAATAGCAGTGGAACACTGCCAGATAGCACTAGTGTATACTGGAATAAGAGAGAACAGATGATCCATTTGAAAATTGTTGTTGTTAGATGCCTTCAGGTCTATTCCTGTGCCATCCTCAAAAGCATTGCTGTATATGAACCCATTGTTACTCCTACTGTGTCAGTCCATCTTGTTGAGGGTCTTCATCTTTATTGCTAATGCTCTTCAAACACAATCTCTTTCTCCAGGGACTGGACTCTACTGATAACATGTTCAAAGTACATTTCATCATCCCTGCTTTAGAGGAGCACTCTGGCCATATTTCTTCTAAGACAGACTTGTCTATTTTTCTGATAGCCCATGTGTAGTCCCTGTTCTTTGCCAACACTATAATTTAACTGCACTGATTTTCCTACGGTCTTCCTTATTCATTGTCTTTCACATGCATATGAGGTGATTTAAATACTATGGGTTGCGTCAGTCACACCTTAGTCCTCAAAGTAACATCTTTGCCATTTAATGCTTTAAAGAGGTTTTTTTGTAGCAGATTTGCCCAGTGCAGTACATTGTTGGATTTCTTGACTATTGCCTCCAGGGGCATTGATTGTGGATCCAAATAAAAAGAAATCCTTAACAATTTCAATCTTTTCTGTATTTATCATGATGTTGCTTATTGGTCCAGTGGTGAAAATTTTTGTTTTCTTTATGTTGAACTGTAACCCATATTGAAGTCTTTGATCTTCATCAGTAAGTGCTTAAAATCCTCTTCACTTTCAGCAAGCAAAATTGTGCCTTCTACATATTGCAGGTTGTTAATGAGTCTTCCTCGTATCCGTATGCTGTGTTCCTCTTCATATAGCCCAGCTTCTTAGATTATTTGCTCAGTATACAGATTTTATAGATAATAGTAAAAGAATACAACCCTGATGCGTACCTTTTCCATGGCATCTGCAAGAGAACCTAGGTTTTTACTGTTATTGTTCAATCAGTTCTGGCTTGTAGCAACCCTGGTTAGGGTTTCCAATGAGCATATAGTACATTTGAACCACCAACCACGCAGTTAGCATTCCAGTGCTATCCTACAGTGCCACACTAGGACTCCAGGCCTCTTAAAACTCTTTCATCCTCTACCCATTACCTAATTCCAAAACTGCTTTCACATTTTAGGTATCTGTTAGAGCAACACACCACTCTTGGTACTAAATTCTGTCTGGTAGATAGTCATTATGAGTTGAAGTGCTAACCTCAAGATCAGCAGTTTGAAACTACCAGATGTTTGTTCCATGGGAGAAAGATGAGGCTTTCTGCTTCCATAAAGATTTACAGCCTTGGATACCCTATACAGGGTCACTATGAGTCGGCACCAACTCCACGGCACACCAGCACCATAACAGCAGTGCCACAGGTGGCTGGCTCTGACTAACAGATACGGATTTTCTCACAGTTTAGGAGACTGTTAAGTGCCATCTAGTCAGTTCTGACTCATAGTGACTCTGTGTAAGGTTTCCCTGGAGCAGCTGGTGGGTTTGAACTGCTGACCTTGTGGTTCACAGTCCAGTGCTGATCCTACAGTGATGTACCAAGAAGGCAGAAGTCCAAATTCAGGGCACCAACTCTAGGGAAGGCTTTCCTTCTCTCTTGTCTCCTTTCAATAATTGTGAGCCCAGCATTCTTTGGAGATCTCCATGTATCTTGGCGTTTGAAAATTAGAGAATCGTGTTTTATGGGGTTCTAGTATGTCTTGGACATCCTGGTTAAGTACTGGATTACTAACCTCAGAGTCAGTGGTTCAGACTAACAACCAACCGCTTCTCAGAAGCCTTATACAGGGTCACTATGAGTCAGAACTAACTCAACGGCACTGAACAACAAGTATGTCTTAGATAGATAGGCTATTATTCCCAAATATCTGTCACAATAAGTTCATCGCTAATTTTGCGAGTTTCCAGTTAAAGTTCAGAAAAGAACTCCAAGAACTAATGGCAGCTCTTCTGCTTTTCAGTAAACCTTGGCCGCGGGATGGTGACTCACACAGAAGCTAATCCTGCCCGGGCAAGAACCATGGGACTGAGTCAAGATGCAAAGGGACATTCCTTGTTGGAACTAGACCAGAAAGCTACAGCCCCAAATCAGCCTCCTGTGTTATCAACCACAGAGAAGAGGAATCATTCCACTTTCCAGGGACCAGAGACTGAAGTCAGTCCGGTTCTACCAGGTAAAGACTCAGGTTTGGAGAGCTGTTTTTCACAAGGAACCTCGGGCTCTTTAGCTAACCTTACTCAAAATTAAGTTTGCATTTGAAGAAAGAGTCAACTACAACTCATGGTGACCTTCGGGTGTGTCCGGGGAGAACTTTGTTTCACAGAGTTTTCAATGGCTGATTTTTCAGAAGCAGGTTGCCAGACCTTTCTTTCAAGGTACCTCTAAGTAGACCTGACCCGCCAGTACCTTTTCATTAGCAGCTGTAGTGCTCATTCTGTACTAACCAGAGACTGAAGAGTATTATTGGCGCTGTGGGCTAACGTGTCAGACTGCAAGGTCAGTGGTTCAAGCTTACCAGCTGCTCCTTGAAAAGCCTATACAGGGTCGCTAGGGTTCAGAATTGACTCGACAGCACTTAACAACAACAGCATTGAAATATCTGAAGAAGAAGTCAGTAAAAATGCTTTAACCAAAAAGGAAAAAAAAAACATTTGTACTGATTAATTTATAGTAAGGAATGCCTGCTAAAAATACATTCATATGTACATACGTGTATACATACTACAAAAGTACCAGTATGTTTATTTATTTGTAAATCAATTGCAGTTAGGAAGTTGTCTCACCTTGCTTATGACACTGATGTTATAATGTTAAATTTTAGGTTATTTTGAGATGAAGCGGCCTACATTTTTATGTAAATCTTCCTCGCCCTATCCATCTTCTAAGCAAGTGACTGTAAAAAATAATATATCCTCTTGCAATGGTTACCAAAACCCAAAACCCCATGGCTGTCGAGTTCTGACTCATAGCGACCCTATAGCACAGACTAGAGCTACTCCCTTGGGTTTTCAAAGCGGTTGATCCTTTTTCCCAACTTCTTAGGGTGAATTGGGTGAAGGCTTACAGAGCCGATCATCAGTTTTACAATCAACAGTTCCTACACATTTTCTTTCATTTCCCTGGTTGCATTCTCTTCAGTGAAACATTCCTTATACCACTTCCTTCCTCTGTTTCCTGTTTCCATTCCTCCTTCTGTCCCACACATTCTGAACTTCGTTCTTGAGTAAGTACTGCCCTTTTGATCTCAATTGGTTGATTCCTCTCAGATGTTTGTACCTCACTACTATTATTGTCCCCCTTGTAGAACTATCTACTTTTGGCTAGAAATGGGACCCTGAGAATGAGTTTAGCTTCAGATATGAAGGGTGACCAAGGGCCATAATCTCAGGGTTCCACCGAGTTCTATCCAACCAATAAACCTAGTCTTATGATTTTGAGTTTTGTTCCACATTTTTCTCCCACTCTGTCCAGGACCCTCTAATACGATTCCTTTCAGAGAAGTTGGTAGTGGTAGCCAGACATTGTCTAGTTCTGACCTCAGGGTCATGAGATCCACAGTTCCACTGGACTAATGGTTTCCATGAGCCTTCATTGTCCTCACTCATCTTTCCCCTGCATGGTGAGAAACCAATAGTTGCCCCTTCGATGGCCACTCACAAACGTTGAAGATTCTAAATCACCTCTCACCAAAGTAAGATGTGGAACATAGTCTTTGCGGACTATTGGACCATAATATCCCTGAGACTATGGTTCTTAGCCCCCAGGTCTAGCAACTCATTCCCTCAAGGTTTTGGGTTAGGTCTAAGACATTTTCATAACTTTGTCCCTTGTCTGCTCAACCACGTCCATGGGTGTATTGCAGAAAAGGTAAGTACTCATGTACAAATATCCTCTGTCAAACCTTTATGTATTTGTGGGTATACACCACTCTCCCTCCCACCCCGTTCAGCCTGTACATCTATCCCTGCATCTACCCACAAATCGCCTTTATTATAGGCTTGCGTATATAACATTATTTACCTGTTAAAGACTATAAATCTTTATACAAGCAGATTACCACATCATTCTCCCACAGAACAGCCGGTGGGTTCACACTGCCAACATTTTGGTTAGGAATCCAGTACTTAACTCACTTTGCCACCAGGGTTCCTTGCTGAAATGGTTACATGTGTTAGTAATTCAGTGTAATGCCTCCAAGTTAACTAAGTCCAGGTGTGGCCCTATAGGATACGCACTTGACCTCAATGTTGCCTGAACTGCAAGGTCAGCTGTTCAAACTCATCAGCTGCTCCTCGGAAACCCTATGCTATGAGTCAGAGCTGACTAGATGGTACTTAACAAAAACAACAATCTTTTTAAAAAATATTAAAATATTTTAAAATACATTCACACTGCTCAAGTGTTACATTATTCTAAACTTTTTTTACATATATGTGCATGATTACATGAATGAGACAGAAATACATATTATCTTATTTCTAGATGCTTTTTTTCTGTTATTCCTCTTTTTTTTAAAGTTTTTATTGTGAATTGAGTGAAAGTTTACAGAGCAGATCATTAGTTTTACATTCAACAAATAGTACACCTGTTTAATCACAATGATTATAATCCCCTCCAAGTACCATCAGGTAACAGTATTTCTCTCTATTCACTTTAGCACTTTTTTTTTTTTTTTTAAACACTCAGGCATATATAATAATTTACACCACCAAAAGGCACACTCTGCAAGTCTGCCTTCTGGCTGCCAGCTCTCAGTCCCTCTCTTCTCATGAATCTAGAGTCCTCAGCAGCTCCCCCTCTCCCTGTCCCCATCTCTACCTCCATCTCTGGTGTCACTGCTTCTCTGGATAAGGTCTCGCATTCCACTTGTGCTCGTCTTCTTGGATGGTTCTAGGATCCTCTGTGTCTGGACTATAAGATTAACTACGCCCCCATTTTTGTTACAAAATACGTCTATCATTACAATTGTAACAGTTGCAATTAGTCACGGTAACAATTACTCACTACCAAATCTTTAGAATCTTATTCCCATCTCTCTTAAGCAGACGCATCTAGACAAGATGACAACTATTCAGTGGGGACTCTTTTTCCCCCCACACACTCTTAAATCAAACTCCCTCTTGAAACCTTGTAAGCCAGTCACTTCATGCCTTTATTGCCCCTCATTTTTGGTAGCCAGTGTCTAACTTGCCTGTCCCTATCTACCCTGTGTACAGAGGGGATAGCATTGATACGTGATATGAAGACTCCTTCCCCCTGTTGGTAGAGTTACTACCTCCATGAGTATAGGACAAGTTCATCAGATTGTAGCAATTTACCCTCATTTTCTTTTTCAGAAAAAAATTTTTTTTATCTAGATGCTTTTTGCAAATGTTTTCCCAGTACTCAAATTTATATACATTTTATTAAAATAATCTGTCAGTGTTTTAACAACTTTTATCATAAAATTTTTTTGTTCACTGCAGGAGATTTAGAAAGTGCAAACTAACAAAAAAAGGGAAATGATAAATGCATTCTTTATTGAAAATGACTTTTAATATTTTGATCTATTTTCTGCCATTCTTTCGGTTATCAACTTAAGAAATTTTAAGTTCACTCACTTATATAAACAGTTCTTACAGAATGTGTGAATTCTATGGGTTATACATATACATTTTATATTTAAATTGTGTTTTGGTGTGTATTTACAGAGCAAATTAGGTTTCCATTCAACAGTGTGAAAAGCTGATGTTTTGTGACATTAGCTGCAGTCCCCTGAATGCAGCAGCAGTATCCCCACTTCCTCCCTGGGTTCCCCAGTTCCTTTGCCCTTCTTTTCTGCCCTGGAATGGTTCATTGTTCTCACATGTCTGCTGCCCCCTGGTTATTGCTCACTTTGTCAGCCTGTCTGGTTGCCAGGTCTTCCTTGGGGGTGGGTACAGTTCAGGTGTGAAGGATAGGAAGAGTTTTCCTTTTGACAGTTTTGTTGTTGTTGTTGTTAGGTGCCATCAATTCAGTACCTATTCATAGCGACCCTCTGCACAGCAGAACGAAACACTACCCAATCCTGGGCCAACCTCACTACTGTTGCCATGCTTGAGCCCATTGATGCTGCACTTTGCCAGTCCATCTTGCTGGGGGTCTTCCTCTCTTTCTCGGACCGTCCACCTTACAAACATGATATCCTTCTCCAGTGACTGGTCCCTCCTGACAATATGTCTGAAATATGAGAGACGAAGTTTGGCCATCTTGGCCTCCAAAAGGTACTCTGGCTGCACTTTTCCCAAAACAGTTCTATTGGTTCTTTTGGCAGCCCATGGCACTTTCAGTATTCTCCTCCAACACCATAACTCAAAAACATCAATTCTTCTATGGTCTTTCTTATTCACTTTCACATGCATATGACGTTATTGAAAATACCATGGCTTGGGTCAGGCGCACCTTAGTCTTCAACCTGACGTCTTTGTTCTTCAACACTTTAAAAAGGTCTTGTGAAGCAGATTGACAGTTTTAAGTACTCTAAAAACATTGGGTGCTGATCTCTTGCTTGTTTACAATGCCACCTAACGGCCAAATCAGTTACTACATCAAAACCTTGTGACCGCTTTTAGCCCGTTTTCTCCCTAAAGAAGGTTTGTATGGAGTAAAGAGTCCCTGGATGGCACAAACAGTGAACACCCTGGGCTGCTGACTGAAAGGTTAGAAATTTGAGTTTCTCCAGAGGCATCTCAGAAGAAAGGCTTGGTGATCTGATTCCAAACAATCAGCCATGAAAACTTCATGAAGACAGCTCTGTTCTGACACGGAGTTGACTAGATGCAATTAACTTGGCTGTTTTTTTTAAAAAAAGCCTTTTTATTGTGAATTGAGTAAGAGCTTACAGAGCAGATCATCAGTCCCAGGTTTAACAACTTAGACACTTTGTTTTATTACAATGATTGCAGTCCCCTCCATGTACCTACCCTCAGTTTACAATTTGTACCTCTATTCACTTTAACTCTGGCACTCCTCCGTCTCCTGCTACCTTCATCCTTCTGCCAACCTCCCTCTTGTTGGATATCGCCTGCCCTGTCATTCATGTTCATATGTGTCTACCCTCCAGTCCATGAATAATTCCCATCCCCGTCCCCAGCAACCATCAGAGAATGTTTATTTAGCAAGAAAACCTTTTCTTAACTTTTTACAACAGTGATC